GTAACATGAAGGATTTTTTTTTTATATTTCAAATGAATGTTAACTTTAATTATAGACATTGAAAGATGCTTTTATGTCGGTGATGCGGCTGGTCGCGAAGAGAACTGGAAACATAATACACAAGGTGACTGGAATGATACCGATAGGTGAGTTAGTTACCTTATTATTTAATAAGTTAAATCAATTTGATGAAATTTATTTACATTTTTTTTTCACAGAAAATTTGCTGAAAACATTGGAATAAAATTCCACACACCAGAAGAATTTTTTGATGATGCTAAACCGGCACCTTATTCCTACGGTGATTTCAATCCAAAGAATCATCCGCGAGATGGTTTGTATTTATAGTCTTTATAAATTATTCAATATATTTTCATTTATTTTTATTAATTTTTATCAAATTTATAGTTGAATTCTTCATTCCTGATTCACCGCCACTTGTTCCACCAGACGGACATTGTGAGGTAGTTATATTTGTCGGATATCCTGCGAGCGGAAAAACTTCATTTGCAAAGAAATGGTTGGTAAATAATGGATACGTGCATGTGAATCAGGTACATTTGATTGGAAGTTCTTTATTTTAACCTTTGCTGGACAACTAAGTTTAATTATGGTAATTTATATCTAGGATTCTTTAAAGACAAAAGCAAAGTGTACGAAAACTTGCGAAGATGCTCTAAAGGAAAACAAGCCAGTTGTTATAGGTACAAATATTTACTACAAGCGTTGCAATACGTCTGTCTATATTTGTTTTTATTTTAAATATGATACTTTTAATTAGACAATACCAATGCCGATGTCGAAAGCAGGAAAGCATATATCAATCTTGCAAAAAAATATAAAGTTCCATCTCGATGCTTTTGGTTCCAGGCATCAGAAGCATTAGCTAAACACAATAATATGTATAGAGCTTTTGGTGTGGTTAATGGAGTAAGTTGGTTCAAATATATTTACTTTACACTTTTAATCATATTAAATAAAGCTAATAATTTATTTTTTAAAGCCTCGCCCGTTACCTGAAATTGCATTTGTGGCATTTAAATCAAGATTTATTGAACCAAAGGCCGAAGAAGGATTCGAAGAAATTAAAAAAATCAATTTTATTTTCGAAGGGAATGAAGATAAGAGAAGAACATGGGAAATGTGGTATCTATAATTCTTTTAATACATAATAAATCAAAGTTTTCAAAGTTTTATCATACATTGAATTTGAAGCTCATTTTAAAATAAGTAAGATTTGTTAATGTAGTTTATTTTTTAAATGATTTGAATGAATAATTCGATTAATTATAGCTCAAAGATAAACGTATTTAATGTAATAGAAATTTACCTAAATTATTTTTTAAGAATTTTGTTCTATCTTTAATATTTACTTTTTTAAAACTAATAAAGTTTTACAGTATGGCAGAACATATAATATTTAATTTATTGATTAATATTATCATTATTTTTTTATTTTAAAAAAAACTGAAAATCCAGGTCAGAATTCAAAATTGAATTGTATATGTGCATAATCAACAATATTCTTTTTTACTCAAAAATTCGAAATCAGCAAACCGAGACAGAAACCAATAAGTATTTCTTATTGCACTTCGTTCCTTTTTTTTTTTTTTTAAAAAAAAAAAAACAAAAACTAAATAACGAACAATTTTAAAAAGACCTACTATTTGCTATTTTATTACTATTAATGAACGTTATCTATTTTTAAAAAAAAATATTATTTGATACTTGATATTTGATTACTAAATTACGAAAAGCTAAAATTAACACATATTTTACCGTTCATTTTAAACCTTTAGTTTCGACAACTTCCAAATTCACAACTATACAACTATAATTGATTTTTTATTTGTTTTTTTTTCTTTTCATTTTTATAAACGTTGTTCACTTAGTTTCTCCAACTTCTTATAGTCATTTATCCATTTCAATTTACAGTTGTTATTGGTGACGTAATTATATTGTCAGTTTAAGTAAATATTCATCGCTCTTAGGTTTAAAATAAAAAACTATTGTACAAATAACGAGTATTTTTAATTGTATTTTTAATTGTATTTTTAATTATATAAATTGTATTTTATAAATAATAAAAATTTAACTTATTTCGAAATAAAATGTTTACAATGGCAAAATAAAATGCTAAGAAATCTGTATTGTTAACGAAGTACGGTAGTTCACAGATACACTTTTGAATATAAATACATGCTAAATAAATTATATTATTCTTAATAAACTTTCAATTCAGCTGATTGTTCTCAATACATTCTTGTTCAAATTATGTTCCCTTTACCTGTTTCCTCTTTTT